TGTTTCTTTGTTATTTTTAAGTTTTTCATTTCATGCTCCCATATTACAAATCTGCCCTCCAGTTCAGATATTCTGTCCTTAGTTTCTTTCAAGCTGTTATGCCAGTTTTCGATAGAGTTTTTAGTTTCCTGGTAATCTCTTTGAACCTGCTTCATGTATTCTATGCTTTCTCTATTTTCTCCATCAACAATTCTCCCCTCTTTTTCTGTTCTTCCATTCCACCATCTGTTTTTTCTTGGGTGGTGCTTAGCATTTCTCTAACTATTCTGCTTATGTCTAGCTTCAGGTCATTAATAACTTCATTCCTGAACTTGTCTATGAGGCTTTGGAGATAGTGCTTTATATCTATTGGTGCTGTGTCTGCTATTACCTCTTTCTCAGGCTTGGGGGCCGAGGAGCCTTTCTTGTTGCTGCCTCTTCCCATATTCTTTGTTCCTTATGTATGCAAGTGTATATAGGAGGCCCAGCTTCCTTCCCTGTTGGCCACAGTCTGATTGAATTGCGCCGGCTAGGTGTTCCTGCCCACCACAGCACACCAGGAAGTTGCAGACCAGGCAGCCTATGCGGGGCCCGCCCCTCCAGGTCAATCTACCTTCAGGCACTGAGACCTGGGTTGTGCTAGCCTACTGGGTCTCAGCCAGCAGCATCATGTAGGCTAGGCACTGCTCACCAATCCCGCTTGAGATGAGGATATGTGATTGAAGTCACTGCAGCGCCCTGTTCCCGCAAGTCTGCCCGGTCCCAGAATGTCCTCTGTTGGAGTCTCCTAGACCGTGGAAGAGTCCTAGTTTCTCTCACTCACCGCAGGTCACTCTACGGCTCCCTGCCCGTCCTGCTTTCAACTCGGTTCACTGATTCCCGTTCTCAGAGCTTTCGCGCGTCTCTCTCCCTGCTGAGCCAATGTAGACGCAGCAGCGGCGGTGGGAAACCCAAATCGCGGCTTCCAATGGTGCGGGCTCCAGCTTCCACACTGAGGCTTTTCTGTTCCTGTTATAGCACCAGGATTGCATTCCCAGTTGGTTTCTCTCAGCCCAGTTCATTCTTGGGTCAGTGGGGCATATCTCCTCTTGATTTTGATTCCTTACTCCGCACCATTCCTGAATTCTAAGCTGGGTCTTTCAGAGAGCCTCCGTAGCTGCTGCTATCTGTCCACCATGTTCTCCCGGAAGTCCAGTATGGCCATTTTCAATACTTTGGCTTTTCCTACCCAAGAGCAAGGGATATTTCTCCATTTTCTGAGTATCCTCTTCAATCTCTTGTTTCAGACTGCTGTAGTTTTCAATGTAGAGGTCTTTTACTTCCTTCATTAGATTGATTCCTAGGTGTTTCATTTTTTTGGATGCTGTTGTAAAAGGTGTTTCCCTAATTTCTCTGTCAGTGAGTTTTTTATTCCTGTATAGGAAGGCTATTGATTTTATTATTTTTTTTGTCTTTTTCCTTTTTATCGGTACTGGGGATTGAACTCACGACTGCCTGCTTGCAAGGAGGCTATTGATTTTTGAATGTTGATTTTATATCCAGCTGTGCTACTGAATTTGCTTATTAAATATAGAAGTCTTTTGATGGAGTTTTTGGAGTCTTCTATGTTGAGTGTTATGTCACCTGTGAATAATGATAATTTAACTTTTTCCTTTCCTGACTTTTTTGGGGTTACTGCGGCTCAAACTCACAACCTTGCACTTGCCATGCAAGTGTTTATACTGCTGAGCTAAACCCCTTCCTTTCCCATCTTTATTCCCTTTATTTCTTTCTCTTGCCTCATTGCCCTGGCTGAAGTTTCCAGGATAAAAGTAAGAGTGGAGATAGTGAACATCCTTGTCTTATTCCTGACTTTAGAGTGAAAGTTTGCAGTTTTTGTCCATTTAGTATGATGCTGGCTGTTGGTTTGTCATAGATGGTTTTGATCAGATTGAGATAAAGACCATCTATTCCAATTTTCTGTAGGGTTTCTATCATGAATGGGTGCTGGACTTTGTCAAAAGCTTTGTCTGCATCTATTATGATTGTATGATTTTTGTCCTTGGCTCTGTTAATATGGTGTATCACATTCACGGATTTATGTCCATGCATCCCTGCATCCCTGGGATGAATCCCACTTGATTATGGTGCACAATCTTCTGATTTGCTGCAGTCTGAGTGCCAGTATGTTATTGAGGATTTTCGCATCTGTGTTCGTTAGGGAGATTCGCCAGTAGTTCTCTTTCTTGAGTCCTTTTCTGGTTTTGGTTTCAGTGTAATGCTTGCTTCCAGGAATGAATTCTGGCCTAAATTTCCTGTGAGTTCGTCTCCTGTAGAATCATTGGTCCCAGTCTCTCCTGTCCGGCAGTAGAGCTCTCTTGTCTGCTCGCTGTGCATTGGCAGGAGGACAGCGTTGGTGATTTTTGTCTCATGAATTCTTTTTTCTTTTTTTAATGGCACAGCTCTGCCCATATAGCTCAGGCTGGCCTTGAACACGCTACGTAGCCCTGGCTGGCCTTGCACGTGTGGTTGCCTCAGCCTCCTAAGGGTACAGGTGTGTGCCACCTGCGTGGTATTCCGTGACTTCTTCATCTAAGTCATGACCTCTGGCAGGCTGGCTTCACAAAGTTTCCATTAAGTCCAGTGTTAACTGAAGACATAGGAGACAGGAATGCCAGTAAGAATGACGACAGTTATGAAAAATGATCCACACAAAAGCGATGCAAAATTGCAGGCACCGAAATTCAGGAAACATGTATTTATTGCACATGAGTGCATTAAGTGCGTCCGTCACAACACACAGCATGTGGGATCATGAAGATTCGTATTCCACACAACCGTGTCTGGTCCTCACCAGGTGTGCATGGTGTTTGTGTGTTGTGTCTCTGCCCAGTTGGTCCTCTTGTTCTAAGCCTGGAGCTCATCTGCGGTGTTTGTGTGGGCATTTACCTCTGGTCCAAAGGAGCTGGCTTGGGTATTTACAAAGTACTTAATTGTAATGTATTATTTAATTGTGGGTAACATTACATATTATTTAATGTATACAGTGGTACTTGGGCTCAGGAAAGCTTTTGTTTGTGAACAATTTGGTTTGCAAACAGATTCATTTGGCAGAATGTTGTTTTTGTTTGCAAATTATGCATTAAGTGACAAACACAGCTGGGGCCAGCTTCCGATGAAGACAGATGGACGCAGATATCTTCTCCAGAATGGTGGAAGGAGTAAAGTTTGTAAGCGAGGCACCACTGTATCAGCTTATGTGATAATTGAACACTTGGTCATGTGTTGCAGTGGACGTACTAAGTGGATCCGTGTGGCTGACAGTTGTAACTGAGGCTTATCTTTGCATATATTGCAAACATGAAAATCATGCTAGGACTTATTTTCTGGTTAGGTCTTTTCTTTGTGGAACTGATGGTATAAATATTTTTAAATATGAAAGTAGTAACATTCATTGTAAGAATTAAGAAAAGTATCCACGGTACCGATAAAAAAGAAAAAGACAAAAAAAAAAAAGAATTAAGAAAAGTTCATAGAAACTAACCCTTCTAGCAGAACTTGTCTTGATCCTCCCTTTGATGTCGTGTGTTGCGTACAGGTATAAAGGATGACTTTTTTTTTGCTACCAGGGCTCGAACTCACAACCTTAAGCCTGATAGGCACGCACTGTGCCACTGAGCTATATCCCTGGCCTGACTTTTTTTGAGATAAGATTTCACTCGGTAATTCAGGCTGGGCTTGAATTCATTACATAGCCCAAGCTGTCCTCAAACTCTGGGCCATCCTCTTACCTCAGCTCCTGAGTGCTGGGATTACAGGTGTGGGCCACCATACCTGGCAAGGATGACTTTAAAAATTGAAATCAGGATCACTGTTGGCCTTCCATGTGGACAGATTCTGAATCTTAAGTATTCGCCCATCTGTGGACTGAAAATATTTTTTGAAAAATTTGCACGTATACAGACTTCTTTTTCTTTTTTGGTACCAGGAATTGAACTCATAACCTTATGTTTTCCAGGCAGCTGTTTATGCCCCTGAGCTAAATCCCTAGTCCCTTTATCATTATTCTTTTAAAATACAGTTATTTACATAGTCTTTACATCGTGTTAGACACAGTAAGTGAATTAGAGTTGATTTAGAAATCTACGGGAGGATGTGCATAGGTTAATACACATACACCTCACCATAGTGGGTCAGGGATTTGATCACACGTCGGTTTTGGTATCCTGGGAGTCCTGAACCTAGTCCCTTGAAGATGCTGAGGGACCCCAGTGTACACTGTGTGTGTTTTATGTCCAGGCTCTTTGCCTGACAAGCTGCGCGCTTCCCTCCTTGCTAGGTAATCCTGTGACAAGTATCACATGTGCTTGGTCATGTGCTTTATTAATATGTTGCCATTGGGCCCTGAGGTGGTTTCCAGTTTTTCCACACTTACAGCACTGCTGTCATGAAGATCTGTGCGCAGGGATCTTAATTCACCGTTTTGAGCGCATGGTGGTCTTCTTGGGGAAAACTCTTGACTTGCTAAGGTCAAAGCGCTGACTTTCTAGAAGGGTGAGGCAGCCCTCCCTCAGCAGTGCGCCTGGCCGGGCAGTGGTGCTACAGAATGGCTTCTGCCGGCTTGTTAGAAGGAGAGCTATGTCTCAGGGCTAAGAAATTTATTTTATTTTTTTTTGGTGGTGGTGGGGATGGAACTCGGGGTCTCCACATGTGCTGGGCAGGTGCTCTGCCAGTGACGCTCAAACCCAGTACGCTGTTCTTCTGATTTGCACTATTTCATTTAGTGACAGTGAACATTTAAAATATTTCCCCCACTATATTTCTTCTGAATTGAAGAAGTCTTGGCCTTTAAAGTCCTCAAAAGCGTGGGCTGCTTATCCGCGGGTGTTGGACAGCTGCCCCTCAGTGGCCGATGCCCCTGCTGCTGGGACCCCTGGGCCAGCCTGCCGTGGGAAATGACGCTGGGCAGGGTGGGGGCCCGGGCACTGAGCCGGCTGGTGGGCTGGTCACTGACTCTCTGTCTGTCTGTCCCTCTTCCTCAGGAGCAGGAGCAGCTCTATTTGCGCTCAGGCACAGTGTCATCTGCCACTTTCGAGCAGCCGAGCCGGCAGGTGAAGCTCTGGGTGAGGATGGTGACTCCGCTGATCAAGAACTTCTTCTGAGGACGGGCAGGTGCCGTCGCCTCACTGCCTCTCAGCAGGTTTCACTGAGAGCTGCATCTGGCTGGGATAGCACTCCTAGTCGAGCTCCTGGGGACCCCTCCGTGGAACCCCCAGAGCTCTCTCACTTCTTCCGTGGTTAAGCACAGAGCTCTTCCTCTGGGTTTGTGGACTGTTGGTCTCAAAGTCTTTGATGCTTAGTTAGGCAACCAGCTCACCTCTGGTCAGAGTCACCTTGATGGAATCGGCAGTGTGGGGTCCTCTTCTGTCCTGTGCACCCAAGGAGACAAAAGGGTAGATTCTGCCTCCCTCTTAGCTGAGGGTGGACCTGCGGGAGACAGTGGCCGTGGGAGGAGGAGGATACACCCTTGCGTGAGAGAATCGCTCTGGCTTGCAGCCCTGGTCAGCTCAGCTCAGGATAAGCTGGAAGCCGAGCTGCTGTCTTGCCATCTCCCTGAAGTTTCTGTGACGTGGTCAGGGAGATGTGGCGTTCTAGACAGAGGTGCAGTGTTCTGTCTGCCAGGACGTGCTCCACCTGCCAGGAGGAGCCTGCTGCTTTGTGATAGCTGCTGGCTGGGTGCCAAGGCTGACCCCCTGGTAGCCCCTACCTGAGCCACAGCTTGACTGTGAAACACCTGGAGGCCTGAGGGAGGCTCTTTCTGGAGTGAGCCCTATATTCCAGGCCTCTCAGGACTCAGCATACCCTGGGTACCCCACAGAGGCTGGGTTTTGGTCGGAGTGGCTTGGGCTGGTAGGGGAGGCAGAGTAAGGGGTGTGCGGCTGGTGCGTCTACAGCGTGGTGTCCTGGTTTCTGCCACCTTGCTTCTCCGCTCAGCCTCATGTTTTGAAAGAGTCTTTATTTCATCATGGTGTTTTCCTTTATTTTAATTACATTTAATTTTATTTAAATAACATACAAACTAGGGAGTAAATAGTACTGAGACCTGCAAAATGCAGCCACGTCTGGCCTTTTCCCCATCAACCACTGCGCGGTATGACCTGGGGTTGAAACCAGGGGAGTGAGTGTGCCAAGCAAGCACCCCCAGCCACCTCTGACTTGTGTCTCCTGGTAGTTACACACATCCCTATGTCTAAACATGCACATCACCCCCGAGTATACGAGTTAACTCTTCTGAGTATAAATTGTATCAGATCACATCTGATTAAAAATGAGCCAGATTCCTTAGCATCGTCAGATAGTCAAAAGGTATTCATAATTCCAGCTGCTTTTTAAATATTTGTCTGTTTTGGAGTTGTTTATTTGAACTGAATTCCAAATAAGGACAACACCCAGAGATTGGTTGGTACGTCAGTGCCCGTTCTGGGTACCTTCTTGCAGCAGGGTGTCTGGAGTCTGCAGGCTGTGTGTGTTTACAGAAGCCTGCTCCTTCCTCCTCATCTCCACAAGCCAGTGTCAGCCCTTGCCACCCGGCCTCTGCCTCTCAGGCGTGCGCCTTGGACAGCCTCCGAGGTGCCAGGAAGGCACAGCGGTATGAGCTGGAGGAAGGCTCGCCTGGAGTCTGTCAGGCACTTCGCCTCTTCTGCTTCCCCAGAGCTGGCAGGAAAAAGGGTCACCTTTGGTAGAATCTAAAAGACCAGCTGACCTTGTCATCGCATCCTGGCTGTGTGCACGTGGGAGCCCCAAAGCACCTAGTCTGAGGCGGAGACAGTGCAGGTCTGGGCAGCTGGGAGCAGGGTGGAGTGATGGCCTGAGACACTGTCCTGGGGCGGCAGCACCCAGTTCCCAGAGTGTCTGGTGGGACAGTTAGGGGAGAGGCTCTGCAGGAACTGCAGGCCACTGGGGTTCTGTTTGGAGAGGCTCCGCTCACATTCCGGCAGTTTCTGTGGGACCAGAATAAACACCCTGCACCGCAGCCAGGCTTGTGCAACCTTCTGTGCTCTTCCCTTTGCCCTGCCGCTTCCTTTGTCCACTCATAGCCTTCGGGGGAGCCTTCAGGCTGTCCGGGCAGGGTCTCCCACCCAGGACTTGTCAGGCCAGGCTCCCCAGCTCTGCAGAGCAGCCAGGAGAGGTAGAGGCCGGAAGCGATGGCTGCTCCAGGCCCCAGCCTGTGGGGGTTGTGCTCCGAATCTCGCTTTCCACATCCCTGATGTACAGCCCGAAGGTGAATCATCCCTTGGAAAATGTGGAGATAATTTTGTCAACTAGCCGCAACATGTACATGTGGAGTAAATTACTATTTTATTTCAGGCTCCGAAGACAAAATTGGAAGAGCTTCACATTTTGTGGTTATTACCAAGGATTGGGAATGAGTTGCCTGGTGGTCTGCTGGCAGTTTTCGCTTGTTAAGGAGTTTGACCTTACAGGGAGGGCTCTAGTGACCCCTCCTGGCCAGCAGAGGTGGCTGCCCTGTAGCCAGGCGCCAGCTGAGAGGACGAGGTCCTTTACTGTTCCCCAGAGGGCTCAGTTTCACAGTCCCTCTCCCCTGATCAGCAGGCCTGGGCCCCAGGATTGTTGCTCATTATTACCCTCAGAATTCAAACTTCCCAGACCTCCTCTTCACCCATGGTTTGAGTACCTATAGTTGGAAAAAGGTTTTGCAGAAAACTACGGGATCAGCCTGAGTGTCAGGCACTGTTCCAGAAACTCACAGTACTTCACTGATTTTAAGCTTAAGAAATAGAGACCCTGTCATGGTCAGGGTCTCTTACCTGGATTAACCAGTGATTTGTTAATCTGATTAATCAGCTGCCCTCTTGTCTGAGGACCAGGCTGACAGCTTTGCTGGTGTATCTCGTGTCGATCAGAGTCCTAAACCCTGGGCCTCACCTCACTTCTGTCGAAATGGCTCTATCTGCAGATGTAGACTTCTGCTGGTCAGAAGGGCTTGAAGTGTCACCTGCAGCCACCTGTCACCTGGGGCAGATGGCTGCAGGTGGGCAGGCCTGTGACATACCCTCAGCTGTGTTTGAGAACCATGGGGCCCTCTGACAGGTGGAGGAGAGTTTAATTCAGATAGCTGGGGCTCCTTCAGAGGACTGGGAACTCAGCTCCCTTTGCCATTGCCAAGAGGCCACCCTGGGCCTTGGAATTGGGTGGGGACCGCCCGAGTACCCCAATAGGCATCTCACACAGCCTGCCACACTCGGTGCCCACTCTGCATGTCCCGGTGATGTGTGGGGGGGAGTAAGGCAGAAGGAGATAAAACGCACATGCCGCATACGCCACACACTGCAGGGGACCCTGGTGCTCCACTGTGGAACTAAGGACCGGGCTGAGCCCCGCTGTCCCCATTTTGTCTGTGCCCTGCCAAGTTTCAGAAGGTGTAGGCAGCTGAACAGGGCGCACACCAGCAGCGTGGAAATGGCACCTATGTGGAATAATTGTGGAGTGGAGGTTGGGGAGGAGGCATTAGGTAATTTCAGAAGGCCCCCTTGTCCTAGAGGAGAGAAGAATGAATGCCCACATGCTGTGTGCTGTGGCAGCTCCTGCTCATGAAGGGAGTGGCCTGGTCCCACACTGGGGTGTTCTGACCGTGGCGCTGTAACCCTACGTGCTGTTCTGATAAACCTGCTGGCCCCTGGGAGTTGAGGTGCCTGGGACCTGATCCCTGGCTGCTGGGAATTGGGTCCTCACCCACAAGCTGTGCTGGGCCCCTGGATGGCGGCAGGTACTGAGCTGAGTCGAATGGGCACAGCCAAGTGTTTTAATCTGCCCCGCCTCTCCCCTGCGGTCTCCGCCCTCTGGTTAGTCCAGGTGCACCTGGTTGTAAAGCACCCTGTTATGTAGAGGCAAACCCTTCAGTTCCTGTGAAGCCAGGCGACGGTTGCAAGGCTGCATTTCTGTTGGAAAGTCTGAGCTTCCGCCCAGCCTCGGTGTGGTGGGCTGCAGCCCCAGCCCAGCTACACCTGCAGGAGTAGCGCCACGGCGGCCAGGATCCACTTGGCCGCCTTCTCTTTGGTCTTCAGGTTGAAGGTCCAGACATAGGTGGGGCCGCGGATGCGGGTCTTATACACGGGGCACTCATATATGTTCTTGGTCTCCATGCGGTCCACAGGAATGGCCTTGATGAAGATGACTGGCATGGCTGGCGTCAGGTCCTTCAGCCGCGCTTCCGCGATGACTCCAGTCTGTGTGTCCCAGCGAGCTCCTGTGGGGTCAGCACGGCCAGGGGTCAGGGTGGCCCTGGTGTGCTGGCAGTGAGGGGAGGCTCCGGCAGGGAGTGGCCTTGTACCACACGCCTTGGCCAGGATAACCTGGTGCCCAAGCCCTGCAAAGTGCTGAGGCCACGTGCCAGGGACTGAAGGCGCTGATGGGCATGGAGGGCTCAGGAGGTGCTGCACGGCGGCTGTAAGTGCCCCGTGCGGCTCACTGCGCACTGAGGAGCAGCTCAGCCCCAAAGCCCCTGGTTTCCATGTGTTTAACTCTGTGGTGGTCTCAGGGCCCATCTGTCAGCCTTAATCTCAATGGCAGGAAATCATTAACTCCAGCTGAAAATTACATTGTTCCTGACTCCTCTCATGTGTACTGTCTATTCTGTGTACAGAGAGTATAAATAATTATATATATGCATATATAGATATTCTTTGCCTTTTAACCAGACTGCTATCATTTCTACTTGTCCTGGTAATGATGTTCCTATTTCCTGTCTGGAATTCCAAAATAAACATGGAGAACACTGCTTTGCTCTGCCTGTGCTGGTGATCTGGGAAGAGGGCTTGCTAGCCATGCATGATGGTTGGGGGAGTGGCCCTGGGACTGGTTTATGATGGAGCGGTTGTCGCTTCAGAGGCAGAGGGGCCGGGAGGGTGGCTGTAAGACTGGGGTGTACTGCAAAGGATGTCCCCTCCTCTCCCCTCTTCCTGCTGCCTCACAGGGGTGAGTGGCAGGGCAGCTAGACCTCCCTTCCCTCTAGACCTTGCCTGGGGGCAGCAACAGCTTGGAGAGGGTGGAGGAGAGAGACAGAGACAGACAGACAGACATGGTTGGGGCTCTCCAACAGAAT